TTTTTTTTTTTTTTTTTTTTGTAAGAATCTTTTTGGCATTTGTGCTCAATTACAAGGACTAAAAGTTTACTATCTGCAGGATCTGCATGAACTACAGTTTGGGGGTCAGAATTTATTTATTTTTTAATAAAAGGAACTAATACTTCTATTCAACAAAGACACTTTCAATCAATCAAAAGTGACATTAAATATATTTAAAAAAAAAAGACCACTCTTTCCCCAAAACGAATAAACGGCACAACTTTTCAACACCGTTTAGCATATTCGAATGATTTCTGAAGGATCATGTGACACTGAAGACTGAAGTAACTGCAAAAAATTTAGTTTTGTCATCACAGGAATAAATGACAAAATTACAAAGTTATTTGAAATTGTAATACTATTTCAGAATTTTACCGTTTTTACTGTATTTTAAATGCAGCTTTGAGCACAAATATAAACTACAAAAAAAAAACAAGCAGACAAAGTACTCTGTCATCCACAAGAATCTTTATCTTTCATCATTGAATAATGATGATACAAAATACAACATAAAACACTGGCAGTTGGGACACTGATCAAATTGTTTGTTTATGCGGTGGACCCACAGTCGGCAGGACGCGGTGAAGGGGAAGGATTGGTCTTGGCACCGGGCCGCGAGGAGAGATGAAGTTGAATGGATGTAAACAGAGAAGGAGTGAGAGAGATGAGGATGCTTCAGCTTAAAATCTAAAGGCGCTGAGGTCAGGAACACAAGGACAACAAGCACACATGGAAATGACACAGATATACATTTACAAATAAGGCACTTGTGACAACATTTGGAAACTTAAAATAACTTTGTAAAGTCAATCTAGATGTCCCATTCCACTAGCAAAAATGCATTAAATGCTGAGCACCTGTATTGACACTGACTTTCATATATTAACAAAAGTAATACTGGACCACAATTTGTTAACCCGTTGCTTAAATTGTAACAAGAGATCATGTGGAATTGAATATGACACTTAAAAGGATAGTTCACCCAAAAATGAACATCATTTATTCATCCTCATGTCATTCAAAAACTTTGTTCTGCAAACATAAATGATGAACTATTTTGTCCATACAATTGAAGTCAATGGCGTCCTGCCCAAGTTTCTTTTGTTGTCCACAGAAGAAAAGTCAGGTTTTGGAGCAAAATGATGGTGAGTAAATAATGACAATGTTCATTTTAGGGTGAACTGTGCCTTCAAGGTTTAACATGATCTCATGTAAAGCAGCAGACACTGGGCAAACAGTACATACTAGAGGACATATTGGATCATTTCCATAACTTTTTTTGAAAACTATGGAATCCATTTCCTATAAATGCCACAAATGCAAGCCAGAGTTTCAATTATGTCAAACAGTTTGCTAACAACACAATCATTATAATGCATTTTACATTAGACGGAGAGTTACAAAGTGCATCCAGCACTCAATACTGACTTGTTATTGTAATTATTCATCATATAAACGGAAGAGAAAAACACTAACTACAGGTTCTCCTGCCAAGTACTTTGTTTTTGCTTTTTACAAATTCATTTTCCACATACTGCATAAATTATCAGCTTATCAGGTTTGCTGAAAATATCTGGACCTTAAATAAAAATAATCTTAAATGAAAAACCAGAAAAAAAAAGAATGCTAAAAAAAAAAAACCACTTTAAAATAACTGTAACTAATATATTTAAGAATGCATTTTTAACAGAAATGTATTACAGGACACACGCCGACCAACACAAATATTAGATATGAGATTCTTTCACAAACACATTTGTTGCTTCGTTACAAACGCAACAGACAAATGTTAAATGCAAAAAGCAGCACACTGATTTAGCTCCTTTGGGACGGGATATCATGGCAACACAAATCTTTAGAGTCTTTGTAAAGTGGTAGTGTTGCAAGACTGGGTCAGTAATGTTTATTAGTGCAACTGGATTGGGGAAAGATCAAGTTTTCTAAGTAAAGCAGGTGTGTGAAGGTCACTTGGTGAGATTGCTATTATATAGTGAACAAATGGGTGACACAAAACAAAAACTTCCAGTCAGTTTCCGGCAACTTCAGAACTCAAATACTGAGGGATTCTTGGAAATTAAAAGAAAAACCAGAAAAAAAAAGAATGCTAAAAAAAAAACCCACTTTAAAATAACTGTAACTAATATATTTAAGAATGCATTTTTAACAGAAATGTATTACAGGACACACGCCGACCAACACAAATATTAGATATGAGATTCTTTCACAAACACATTTGTTGCTTCGTTACAAACGCAACAGACAAATGTTAAATGCAAAAAGCAGCACACCGATTTAGCTCCTTTGGGACGGGATATCATGGCAACACAAATCTTTAGAGTCTTTGTAAAGTGGTAGTGTTGCAAGACTGGGTCAGTAATGTTTATTAGTGCAACTGGATTGGGGAAAGATCAAGTTTTCTAAGTAAAGCAGGTGTGTGAAGGTCACTTGGTGAGATTGTTATTATATAGTGAACAAATGGGTGACACAAAACAAAAACTTCCAGTCAGTTTCCGGCAACTTCAGAAGTCAAATACTGAGGGATTCTTGGAAATTTGACAGTTGACCAGACAAAACATGCAAAAACGTATTACTGACAAGTACAGGGAGGATAACAGTGTGTGTGTGTGTGATGCCCAAAAGACAAAAAGGAAATGAAAACTATGAACGTCAGTACAACTTTGTACTAATAAGGCACTAAACACCTAATAAACTAGAGGAAATATTTCCAGTAAAGCAAGTGAACATTGGATTCACTAACATTAGACAAGACCGTGAACAAACAAAAGGGTTATTTAATGATACAGTGCCTATTAATAGTGTTTTAAATAGTTTGCAAGGGGAAAGAAGTTACATCTTTCCTCCTTTTCAAAGTATGTCGGTTTCCAAAAATTAGTATCATATATATATATATATATATCTACATGTATTGTGAGTGTGTGTTTGCTCTGGGCCTTTTCAATCCATCAAACACCCCTGGCGTTAATTTGTTGGTCTCGTCCGTGTGTACCAGAAGGAGAGTGTTGTACCTCCTCTCTCGTCTCTGCTAGTATCACTCGGTCTTGCGGTGATGGTTGTTGTTTAGAGGAGAGTGGCCGTTCTGCACTGGTCCATTTTTCATTGGCGCTTTCCTGTCCTCCTGTTCTTCCTCATCGTCCTCCGTGTCTGTTTCTTCTCGGTCACTCCTCTCGTCCTCCACAATATTCTGTGGCATGACAAATGAGCTGTGATGAAGCTTTCAAATCCTTGCAATTCATATTTCCTACAATTTTATGCAATTATTTCTGCCTGAATCACTTCAAAGGGTAGTTCACACAAAAATGAAGGTTGTGTCATCATTTACTTACACTACACTCATGTAGTTCAAACTAACAGAACTTCTTTCTTGTGTGGAACACAAAAGGAGAAATTCTGAAGAATGACCAAACTGCACTGCTTCGTAGAATTAATTGGATGGAAACCAGAAATAGCGATGGTCACAATTTACTTTCATTGCACGGAGACCAGCAGCTTGGACAATCTGCTAAATATCTTCTTTTGTTTGTTTGTTTTTCCATATGTGAAAAAAAAAACTGCATTTGAGATTTTGAGAGTGAAATACTAAAACATATTTTTGTTGAGATGTTACCATATATAGAAACTTTTGGGGTTGTTAAGATTTTTTTTTTATGTTTCTTAAAGGGATAGTTCACCCAAAAATTTAAATTCTGTCATTAATTACTCGCCCTCATGTCGTTCTAAACCCGTAAGACGTTCGGAACACAAATTAAGATATTTTTGATGAATTCTGAGAGCTTTCTGACCCTCCAATAGACAGCAATGTAATAACGTAGCAAGGAGATCGGTAAAATAATCCATGTGACATCAGGGGTTCAACCGTAATTTTACGAAGGTACGAGAATAATTTTTGTACGCAAAAAACAAAAAAAACACAAAAAAAACCCCACTCTATTCAACAATTCGTCTTTTCCGCGTCACCCTAGTGCCATTTTGGAGAGTATCCACTGAACGTAAACAGCGTATGCTGTTCTGTGTCAGCTGCGTCAAGCGGATAGATTTTCTACATTGTTTACGCTTTGATTTGAACGAAAACAACGTATCCGTGTGACGCAGCTGACACAGAATAGCATATGCTGTTTACATTCAGTGGATACTCTCCAAAATGACGCTAGGGTGACGCGGAGAAGACGAATTGTTGAATAAAGTCGTTATTTTTGTTTTTTTTGCGTCGTGGTAGCAACCTTGCTGTCTATGGGAGGGTCAGAGAGCTCTCAGAATTCATCAAAAATATCTTAATTTGTGTTCCGAAGATGAATGGAGGTCTTATGGGTTTAGAACGACATGAGGGCGAGTAATTAATGACAGAATTTTCATTTTTGGGTGAACTATCCCTTTAAGGAATTCTCTTATGTTCCCCAAAGCTGCATTTATTTGATCAAAAAAATACAGTAAAAACAGTAATATTGTAAAATATTATTACTATTTAAAATAATGTTTTTATTTTAATATATTTTACACTGTAGAATTCTCTTATGTTCCCCAAAGCTGCATTTATTTGATCAAAAAAATACAGTAAAAACAGTAATATTGTGAAATATTATTACTATTTAAAATGTTTTTATTTTTATATATCTTACACTGTAATTTATTCCCGTGATGGTAAAGCTGAATTTTCAGCATCATTACTCCAGTCTTCAGTGTCATGTGATCATTCAAAAATCATTCTAATATGCTGATTTGCTGCTCAAGAGACAATATTTATTAATACTGTAAACAGTTTTTGTAGAAATATGTGTGTAAATTAAGATTCTTTGATGGATAGAAAGTTCAAAAGAACACATTTATTTTAAAAGGAAATTGGTTGTAACATAATAAATGTCTTTACAGTCACTTTTGATCAATTAAATGCATCCTTGCTGAATAAAAATATTAATTTCATAAAGAACAGTGACCCCAAATGTTTGAACATTTGTGTATGTACATGATAGAAGATTACACATGTACATGATAGATAATGTTAGCATTTTATATATATATATAATTTTAAGAGGAAAATGTAAATTTATGGGATTTTTGGGAGGATATTTTTATCTTCTCGATTTGAAACAAGCTGTCACTTTTACAGAACTATAGTGCATAAATTGCCAAAATATAATATCCAAAGTAGTCCAGTCTGTGCTGGATAACTTACATTGCCTGGCAAGAATTTGATGGCCATACGCAGAATGAGCACGGCCCAGAAGATGTGCAGACACTGCAGCACAAACAGCAGCCCATTAAAGAAGTAATATCCAAAGAACGGAGGATAAACGGTCACCGGATACACCCAAGTACAATGCAAAATCCTGAGAGACACGGAAAAGAGAGAAAGTGAGAGTTTAACATCTGACATGTACCTAGCAATGAAGGGAAAAAAAAGGCATCTGGAGTTCATTTCGCAAAGGTTTATAGAATTATTAAAAAGTGTGACATTTCAACCAAACTTTGAGACAGGCACGAATTCCTATTTATAGAGCTTTCATTTGATATTATAGAAGCAAATCATTTGATATCTCTTGACAAATACAGAAAGTGGGTCAAGAGAAATGCATGATTTATAGGTTTAATTATAAACCTTGGGATCAAAATAGAAAATTAGCCAACTCACCAAAATGGGAAGATGATGAGTCTGGTGATGATGAAGATGACAGCAAATACGATGAATATGTAGTTGCACGCTTTTCTCCAGCCGGCGTAGTTAAACATTTTGGCAGACTGTTGGGACAGACAGAGATGGGACATTATGTCTGTGACTCTAGCACAAAAAGCACCACTAGGAGGCAGTGTTTCACAGCAGCATTAATAACCCTGACTGAATTAATTTAGCCATTTACAAGTGCGATATAACTTTACAAGCACATGAAGCTCGATAACAGCCAAGGAAAATATTTTTTTAATAAACAACATTTGGCTTACAATTATTAATATCATGTAATGGACAGAACTATGAGTGTGTATCATCTGGATGTGGCTGTCACAAAAGCCAAATGTGTAAACAAGACCCATGTGATAAAATTATTTGTTCATAGAAATTGAGGAGAATATATTACAATCGCAAAGTATGTCTGCGAAACACTCGTTCACTATAACACTCTATTAAACAATCTGATGTGTGGCTTTCACTTAACATACGCATGTTGCAAATAAGATAATGCAAATGTTTGAAAAACATTTTCTCTCTGTATTGAAGTGTAACAAAGTCAAAGCTCCAGGGACACAGTCTCTACACTAATGTTCCCTTACCTCCAGCAGATAGTCGGAGGCGTCGTGCACCAGCATAATGAGGGTTCCTGCTCTGATGTAGTTCACACACCAGGAGAAACTAATCAGCAGGATGGTGGCAACATGGTGCACTATTTGTTCTTTAAAGTCCTGAAGGAAAGAGAACGAGAGAAAATATGATCTTCCCAACAAAATAACGCAATGGTTATGGACTTAGTACTGCCATGGTTTATTAGAAGTACCATGTTAATAACATAAATATGGTAATTCTTCAGTAATATGGTACACTGTCAATCAAAAGTTTGGGGTCGGTAAGATTTTCATGTTTAGGAAAGAAGTCTCTTGTGCTCACCAAGGCTGCATTTATTTGATCAGAAATACATAATTTAGGGGATTTCACATATTCTGTTAGAGAACATTAGTATGATATTGCCGAAGTTTTAGACTCAAAGTTCAGGATGAGCACAATAGACTAGGTGACTGATTAATCGAACCATCACTTAAAATAGATGACCTATTAAAATTCAGTTTGTGAAAATACCACCAGGTGACATTCGATCCGTTGGATTTTATCATCTCAGGCAAGTGATTTTTTTCATGTTGGATAAAGCTTGATTTGATGCACAACCCAAATGTAAATTGGTTTTGTGTAGACATATCATCTTATTGGGCTCTCAAATGTTCCCTCAAACTTTAGAAAGAATGAACATTGATGCATCATCTTCATTCAGCTCAGTTATGAAGCTTTATTTGCCAGGTTGGCTAGAAGTTCAATGAATAGCCCCAAACATGAGACTGATTTGAAAGATAAACTGTTTAAGCTAGCCCAAGTTGGTTTTAGCTGGTGTAAAATGGTTTTGCCAAGCTGGTCTGAAAAGTGTCTAAAATCTGCCAACAGAGAAGCAAACACCAGCAAACCAGCTTATAATAAATCATTGGACAATTAATGTAAAACCGCTGATAAATCTAATCCTGCTGTACTTTTACTGTTCACTAATGCTTTGTGGAATGGCTAGTGTTCTCTCTGTGCTGGAAACAGACTATACAAAAATCCAAATTAATGCTATTATCAAAGGGCTCTGTGAGATAAGAGATTTTCCACTGATGATTAACCATCCTCAAATGCGCACACACACAAACGCAGCAGGTAACACTCCACATCCAAGCTGGACATCTCGGAAGTCCTTGTGATACTAATACTAAAAACGATAGTGGGTATTTCTATGAAAAAGACTGAAGTGTAGGTAGGGTTTTAAGTTTAAAGTCTTTGGCTCACTCACTTTTCGCTTGATGTCTGATGCGACGCTGAAGAGGAGGGACATGTAAAAGCCTAGTTCAATCATGTAGTACCAGTACTGAGAAGGCAGCAGCGGCTAGAGAGAGAAACAAATAAATTCATAAAATATTTTGAAAGATGACATTTCAGTATCACTAACAACAGAACAGCGATGTGGTTAAAAGACAGTGGGTTTTACAAATGACAAACGTTTCTACAGCTGATTTATTCTGCTGTATATGACCTGAAGCTTTAAGGAAAGGTACTGTGGCATCAGTTTGCATATTTCTCATGTAAAATTCAAATTTCTACGATCCTCCTTGTTAAAACATATTTACATAAGCTTAGCAATACCAAAGTTCACTGAAAGACCATTTCAGATTTAGACAAGGTTGTGCAGACACATTTTACACCCACAATCAATAGAAGAAGTGAACGCACCAGCATTGGAAACCCTGCCCACATCTCCTTCATTTTGTAGAGCCAAGGTTTCTGCACAACACAAACAATATGAAGACAATATGAGCCAAGACAAAAGTGCTCTCATATTTCATCTCAACAAAAGCGCTGCAGGTCACAAGTATGACATTACAGGAGGGGTTGTGGTCCACCAGTATGGGTATTTGAACAGCTGATGCCAGAATTTAGAGAGCAGGTTGGCTGATAGATCATATAATGGTAGATATAAAGCACAAGTCAAACATTTGCTTGGTTGGTTGGTGTTTTAACGCCATGCCAGCTATTGGCTGTCATGGGGAATAACGAGTTGAAATTTACCTTGGAATAAAACTCTAAAATGGATAAATCAAACATTTAGAGACACTAGATTTAATATTTTTGGTTCTCATGAAGGCCTTTCCTTAAATTCTTGAAATTAGTTTTGTAGACAAAGATCATTTGTCCCCATGTATGCTTTCAGAATTTCTCTTCGAAATGTTCTTTTTGTGTTTGATTTTTGTTTGCACATAACTCCCATGTGCTATTTTGATGACTTGACTATTATTCTAAAAATGTAGAAAATATTAATAAAAGAATAAGTAGGTTTGTCCAATTTTGTATCAATAGTGAATGTACATGAATATGAGATTTTAGAAAATAAGGTGTTCATAATATTGTTGAAATAAAATTTAGGGATACAAATGGGAACTCTTCAAATATCTGAGTGAATTCGGAGTAAAAATTGTGTAAACTAAACAATATTTACCCAAAATGCCATCAAACATTTGAAAACAAAAATGTGCATTATCCCTGGACAAAAATAACAACAGTTTTTGGAAATGACACTTGGATCAACCAGCCAAGAGGAAAATGTTTCATAATAACTACACATCAGCTGATTAACGAGGCCGATATTATAGGAAATAAACATATATTACAAAACAAAGTAGGTTCTGGTTTATGCCAATAAACTCAAAATGGCGAGTAAAAATTGTGTAAACTAAACAATATTTACCCAAAATGCCATCAAACATTTGAAAACAAAAATGTGCATTATCCCTGGACAAAAATAACAACAGTTTTTGGAAATGACACTTGGATCAACCAGCCAAGAGGAAAATGTTTCATAATAACTACACATCAGCTGATTAATGAGGCCGATATTATAGGAAATAAACATATATTACAAAAAGTAGGTTCTGGTTTATGCCAATAAACTCAAAATGGCCAAAAAGGGAGGAAAAGGGAAGCATGTTTAATACTCACATCAATAAGTGCAGCAAGGCCAGCAATGAAAGCAAGAAGGTAAAAGGTAAATCTCCAACTGTAAGAAAATGCATATTCATTTCAGCAAATAATATCCAGAAGCAAATACATTATCAGCAACATAATATACAAAGCCAAGCATCTCTCATAAGAACAAATGACAGCATTTTTTCAGATTAATAGATCAAAAACATTACTTGATCACCAGCCATTCAATTTAAGGGTCTACAGTTGCTACATAGTGACAAAATGTACAAAAAGGCGGCAAAACAACACTGATACAGTCCACTCACAATACAAATACTACTATTACAAGCCCACATCACGACCAACAGCCCCTACAACTGTATTTAAAGCATCTACAACCTACTGTTGTGACTGACAGCTGGAGACGGCATGATAACAAACTAATTTAAAGGATGTTCCAGGCTCAATACAAGTTAAGCACTATCGACAAGCATTTGTGGCATAATGTACATTACCACAGACAATAAAAGATGCAGTTAAATTGTGCACTAACAAGTAATGCACTTTAGAAATATGAAGCTTTTATTTATGTTAAAGCGCCAACATGAATTACATTTGAACTTTAAGTTTGTCTAAAATATAATTTGTGTTGTAGGTGCATGGATTTCTAGCTATTCAGTAGTACGAATGTAAAAAGCTTTACATGGTCATGACAGGAAAAAGATACGCACAATAAAACTTTGCACAGACAAGGTTAGTAATCAATATCACTTTAGTCTTAGGTTGACAAGTATAATATCAAGAACTATTCTTCAAAAACTGATTGTAACGTTTGCTGCTCAGCAGAGTTATTTTATTGGCAATTTTTCAAAATGAAATGAATAAAAATGATTTACTCACCCTCGAGCCATCCAAGATGTAGATGAGTATATTTCTTCATCAGAACAGATTTGAAGAAATTTAGCATTACATCACTTGCTCACCAGTGGATCCTTTGCAGTGAATGGGTGCCGTCAGAATGAGAGTTCAAACAGCTGATAAAAACATCACAATAATTCACAAGTAATCCACACGACTCCAGTCCATCAATTACCATCTTGTGAAGTGAAAAACTGCATGCTTACAAAAAAATAAAAAATAACAAATCTGTCTTTAGGACATTTTTAACTTCAAACCATTGTTTCCAGCTAAAATACAAGTCCTTAATCTATACTATTGCTTTCACCAGATCAAGCACTGTTTACAAACTAAAACAGTCCAAAACAGGTGGATTTTGATAGGAGAGGCCAAGAGGATGGACCTTTTCACTGGAGAAAGCGTTATTATGGATTATGGACTGTGTTTTGGCAAGAAGTGATGGTTAAGTTAAATCTTAATGATGGGTTTGTTTCGTACAAACATACAGCTCTTCTCATCACAATTGGTGGACTGGAGTGGTGTGGATTATAATCTTGTTTTTATCAGCTGTTTGGACTCTCATTCTGACGGCACCCATTCACTGCAGAGGATCCACTGGTGAGCAAGTGAAGTAATGCTAAATTTCTCAAATCTTCTCATGAAGAAACAAACTCATCTACATCTTGGATGGCCTGATTTTAAGGTAATTCTATTACTATTACTAACTATTTTAAGGTAATCAACATTACCCCAAATGCTTTGGATTAATCTTAACTCTGTATTGAACCCTGTGCATTCCTTTAATTACGTGTGTTGGATGTGGTTCTAAAGCACAAGACAAATAAATGTTGAAATGTCAAGGACAAGACATTAAAGGACCAACCCACAGTTAGTAAAATACATGGGTACATTAGCCAAATTTTGTTTATTAATACCACATACCGTTTCTCCTGTGTGCAATAGCCTTCCTACCACCTAATGGAAAATGTATGTTTTTTCTGTTTTACAGTGAATTTCGTGTATTATAATTGCATGTCGTACCACTCAATACTCAGAACAAACTCACCTACATCTTGGATGGCCTGATTTTAAGGTAATTCTATTACTATTACTAACTATTTTAAGGTAATCAACATTACCCCAAATGCTTTGGATTAATCTTAACTCTGTATTGAACCCTGTGCATTCCTTTAATTACGTGTGTTGGATGTGGTTCTAAAGCACAAGACAAATAAATGTTGAAATGTCAAGGACAAGACATTAAAGGACCAACCCACAGTTAGTAAAATACATGGGTACATTAGCCAAATTTTGTTTATTAATACCACATACCGTTTCTCCTGTGTGCAATAGCCTTCCTACCACCTAATGGAAAATGTATGTGTTTTTTCTGTTTTACTGTGAATTTCGTGTATTATAATTGCATGTCGTACCACTCAATACTCAGATTATCAGTGAGAATTGTTACTTAATCATTTTATAATGTTCATGACATTAAGCAAGCTAATAAAATACACAGCATGGTGGATTTTATGGCCATTTATGAAAGGATGGAAATGGGGTTCAAATAGTCTGTGTGTATTGTTCTGTACCTGGCCTCTCTGAACTTCTTCAGCTTGTTGGGTCGCTCTTCATTCCTTCGTCGCCTGAACCATCTGTGGATCTGACTTTCTGAGTACCCGGTCTTTTTACCTAAACTCTCGATTTCGCTCTGAAGAGTAACAGAGAACATGAAGGGTCATTTAATGGCGAGACATGATTTTAAGGGTATGAGATACATATGTCGCTCACGAGCGGACTGAAACAATTCAGCGTTGAAAATGTGTGTACATATACACAAAAAGATAGCAAAAACTTGCTGCATACATTTACATTCACAATACAGATGCATGAATCTAAAGCAGCTTATAAATGAGGAAACATACAAAAAGTAAAGGGTTTAACTGTACTAATGAGTTTGGCAGTGTAGTACCTGTTTGGGATTTTTACTTGTGATTCTGAAGTACGACTCCAGCGTGAGGTTGTGCGCCGCTTGCACTCTGACTTTCTCCTTTACGCCCAAAGCTGCGGCCAGTTGAATGGCCACCGTCCTAAATTTGAAAAACAGTATTAAACTTTCAACACTTGAGTTGGAAAACTGACAACACTGCATCAATGCTAACCATATTTAAAACATCAATCATTCAAAGTTTTTGAAATGCTAGAGCACTTACAAATGTAAAACGTAATTCAGATTGATTATTGGATAGTTCCAGACAGATAAAATTACATCAAATATCCTCCTTCTGAGCTCATGTATACAATACAGTACGTTTTGTTCACTCCATATTACACTACTGTGCTTTCTATGTTCTTAAATTCAAATGAAAACGGCCACTGAACGTGACAGACATTTTTTTTTTTAAACAGCTTTCTCACTAGATGAACAGCACGTGTTAATATGTACACTTCTGATAAAAAGTCTGTTGCATAAACCATATGTTGCAAATACAATATTACATTGGTGATAACCACATAAAACACTAATGAGCTAATATGATCAGTAGGTTTCATGCTGACCTCTCAAAGATCTGTCGTATGATGAGGAAGGCGAGGGCGATGGGCAGGGTCACCCAGAGGTCGGATGCCTTGGAGTAGGTGAGACCGTCACGATCCTCCAGGTCAGCCCAACCCAGTCCTTCTGGAAACCACAGCCTCTCGTTCCAGAACCACTCGCTCAGCCTAGACAACATCCTGATGCAGGATGAAAAAATTACGACATATTTAGATATTTTAAAGACTACTAAAGAAGACCTCATGGGGCTTTTGCAAGTGTGAGCTGCTTAACTTGTTTTCTTTGACTTTTAATGATAACTTAAAGTGTTTTTTTAATGATAAAAAAATCTTTAAAAAAAAAAAAAATCTAAAGGATTATAGAAAATTTACATATATATACACACACACACACATATATATTTACATTGGTGATAACCACATAAAACACTAATGAGCTAATATGATCAGTAGGTTTCATGCTGACCTCTCAAAGATCTGTCGTATGATGAGGAAGGCGAGGGCGATGGGCAGGGTCACCCAGAGGTCGGATGCCTTGGAGTAGGTGAGACCGTCACGATCCTCCAGGTCAGCCCAACCCAGTCCTTCTGGAAACCACAGCCTCTCGTTCCAGAACCACTCGCTCAGCCTAGACAACATCCTGATGCAGGATGAAAAAATTACGACATATTTAGATATTTTAAAGACTACTAAAGAAGACCTCATGGGGCTTTTGCAAGTGTGAGCTGCTTAACTTTTTTTCTTTGACTTTTAATGATAACTTAAAGTGTTTTTTTAATGATAAAAAAATCTTTAAAAAAAAAAAAATCTAAAGGATTATAGAAAATTTACATATATATACACACACACACACACACACATATATATACATACATACATATATATTGTTTTGGCCGCGGAAGCATGTTATACAAATTTCTTAACAAATTGAACTAAACAAAACACAAACAAATAATTTTTAAACATAAATAATATAAAATAAAAATACACTTTCTTAAATGGCTACAACATACATACATACATATATATATTAGGGCTGTCAGTTTAACGCGTTAACTTAAAAAAATAACACGATTAAAATATTTTAACGCAGTTAACGCACTGGCCCCGTCCTCAGACCTGTACGTCATCTCATATTTCATATAGTTGACTGTTGACAAATATGATGAACAACTCCATAAATGCAGTTATGACCTAAAATTCAAGATATTGGGGCAAAAAAAATACCCCTGTATGAGTTTTTGTCTCATATTTATATTATATGATAAGCGATATCACACTATTTATTGAGACAAACAACAAACAATTGTTTTTTGTTTTGACAGTCAAACACACAATAAAAATTAAACAAATATCTAATTTCTAATGTTTTGTATGCAGATTAAATAGGTTTTAAGGAAACTTTTGTCTTGTTTCCCGAGGCCACAGGAGGGCGCAATGAGCAAAATAATGCAGCACATTTAAATTGTCAATGCAAGGAAATAAATGTATATTAAAAAAAAACATGCATTACGTGTAAATTAACTTATATAGCCTAAATCAAATATAATTTCGTAAATTGCATAAACAATTATGAACAAAACAGCATCATGTATTTATGCATTGCTTAATACAAAGAGCTGAATCTCCCATCATGCAGATTGCATTTAAAAACATAAGAGACCCACTGAAAAGGAATAAATCTCCACAAATTTGCGATGTGTTTTCTAAAAGTTTAAACTATTTTAACTTTGCATGGCTACAATATTTTAAACACAATATTGTGTTTTTGTTCAATTTTGCCAACGAAAATATTACCAAAAAAGCCACGTTGTGCGTCCAGTAGCCCCTCACTGCAGAACAAAGATCCAGGGGTCGTTTAGGTTTGGCACCAGGTTTAGAGGTGGAGATGGGTAGGTTTAGGGATCAGTGGGTAGAGACGGGTAGGTTTAGGTATATGTAAGGTGGGAGGAGTTGGATCTGGACCCAACCTCGCCCCCTGGATCTTGTGTTCTGCAGTGAGGACCATCTCCATGCGTCTCCGAACAACACAGCGGTGTTTAGTTTACTGAATACCTGAATGAATCAGCTGTTTGAACGAATCGACAAAAAAAATTAAAACATTTACCGCCACCTGCTGGTAGTTTTAGTTTCTTCTTTATAGTATAATTTCATTTATTAAAAAAACATTAAAGGAATAGTTCACCAAAATAAATAAATATATTCTGTCATCATTTACTCACCCTCATTTTGTTTCAAACCTGAATGACTAACTTTCTTTTGTACAACATAAAATAAGTTATTTTGAAGAATGTTGGTAACTAAGCTGTTTTGGTCACCAGTGACTTTCATTGCATGAACAAAAAATACTGAGATGTTTCTCAAATTATCTTATATATATATTCCATACTTTATGTTAGGCTGTTGTAGCCTAAACATTTAACACAATAATAGCTTTAAATTATCTTTTGAGAGTATTTTCACAGCCAAATTTAGTTTGCGATTAATTAGATTATTTACACACAGCACCCTGTAATTAATTAGATTTTTTTTTTAAATGTATATATTTCTTTAAAAAAATTATAATTCTGACCCCAAACTTTTGAATGGTAGTGTACATGAAATCGGGCAGTGGTGTTAAAAGTTGAGAAAAAAACAAGTATAATACGCTAAAAAATATAATGTATAATAATGATGTCCATTTATTAAATGAAAATGATACATGCAAAATACTAAATTTTTTAGCTACTGCTGGACAGATAATCTCTTTTATAATGTGCTTTCTATGTTTTCAACAAATTCAAATTCTTGTAACAGGTTTGGTTCACGGCTTGTAACTCTTTAACCAATACTTTTTAAAATCTTCTAGGAAAAATGAATGGGAAATTAATGAATTATTTTTTTATCAATACTTCAATACTGCATACCAGGATTGCTTAGAGAGCAGCATAATTAAGTTTGGAACAGCCTTTAACACACCCAATGACGCCTTAAAATGCTGTCTATGTAAGCAGCTTACTAGTGTTTAAAATACAATATTTACAATACATTGCCAATAAAGCCTTACAAAACAGTCAAGCAAACACATTAAGGGATTCAAAGCTGCCATTCCTTTAGTAAACACTCATGTCGTCCGCCCTCAATATTGTTAGTTCACATTACTCAGAAACTAAATATGAGCTCAAAACCACTGATAAAAGCTATCGTCTCAGAGCAAACTTTCTTTAAGAGATGAGCTCTCCTGAGAGGTACATACACACATCCCTGGTACAGATCGGTGAACCATTCACACGGGACCAAGAAAACACGCAGAGGACTTTTCAATGAAAGCCCCTCCTTATCGCCGTGCTGTCAGTGACACGGTTTGAGCGGATGGGCCTCCAGCTGTACTAAAGCCTGCTCTGTCTCAATGGAGTCATTCTGAGAGGTCAGCATGACATCATGGCCGCTGTCATTGGCTGGCAGCGGCTGAAAGGCTGTACTGTCACCTGTGGTAATGAGTACTGCTTGGAGCCGGCCGGGCCAGAGAATGAGACAGATTCTCTTCCTTTCCGTGCCATTCTGTGTGAATGAAGAGCTAAAAGCACTCTGATAATACCAACTGTCAGAATGTTATCTGAGCAAGGCCTGAATATATCAGCAATGTCAAAGAGCCAATAAAGTTTGATAAAATGCCTGACACAGATGATGATATAAAAGTGGTGCAAGTAATGTAGAAAGCTGACCAAGTAGTGAATCATAAATGACAAAATAAAGGTAAACGTACCTTCTGAATCATTAATATTCTCTGAAACAATTGGTCAAGTGCCGATCCAAGACATTGTTTTTTTTTAAATCTCCACAACTACTAATAAACAATTTCACAAACTTTAGTGAGTTCGTAATAGCAGAATGTCTCTCAAAGGACTTAATTAGTTGCCAAGCATTAAATAAGACAAATGGCCTTTGAACACTGAGACTAAAGACTGTCTGGCAACATCAGCTTTTGTTTGCGGTCACACTCAGCTTTGAAGAATTGTTTGGTTAGCAAATACACAAACCATAAAAAGCAGCTGGAATGCTCTGGTTGTGTTTTTGTTCGTGAATGAATCAGTGACTCATATCTGGGACAAATTTGGAGGAAAAAAAGATAAATCAGCTTTGTTGTCATTTTGGGAAAAATGCAAAGTGATGCTTAGTCGCGAAGAAATGGAAGTAGCGACATTTTCTTCCATATTGGGATGTACATCCAGTGTAATGGATTATAAGAAAAAAAACTGTAGGGCAGGTGTTGATTGGTTGTTCAGAAGTGGGCGTTGCACTCAAAAGAACAGGGGGTGGGATTTAAGCGGACTGAATGATTGGAGAAGACCTACATACATCATCATGGAGAAGTCTGTCATTTTCACCAGAATATCTAATTATGACATTTTGATTTCAATTTCCAACTAAATTTCCATACACGAACAGCAGTACATCAAATAAGCATCATGTGCATTTATCCAGTATAGTCGAGATTAAACTGAAGCAGCAACAGATTTTTTCCTCCATATACTGTGATGTACATCCAGGTGTAACAAAATACCAAAACAGAAAAACGTTGGGTTGCTTCAGTTGTTGATTGGATTTTGTGACGAGGCACATAAATGAGAGCCTAAAGGGCCAGAATTTAAATTGACTAAATTAATTGTTCACAATAACCTTCCTAACATACATTTATTAAACATATAGGGTGAATTTTGTTTTCATGCCAACAGTGTCAATGAATCATTTCAGTGAATGATTCAATGACTCATTCATAGAAAGTATGCATATTTGAATACAAATAGACGTTTCAGTGTCCAAATATCCATAGTACTTCCATACTTTACAGTATCCAAAAAGTAGTATGTCAAATGAGTATTATGTCCCTTTATGCAGTATTCATAAAACAATAAGTGTAAAATATCCAGATGACCTAAACGAATTCATGAAAATCTTTTAGTGAACACAACCAAAGATTTTATTTAAAGGGATAGTTCACACAAAAATGAAAATTTTGTCATCATTTACTCACCCTCATGTCGTTCCAAACCTGTATGAGTTTCTTTCTTATGTTGAAGATAACATCTATCTTATGTTTTTGTACTTCAAAATTTCTCGTGTAATTCCATGTGTTACTTGCCGTTTCATTGTAATTTTTTTATGAAACTTACTAGCAATGTCTCAGTGAGAATGCTTCTACATCATTTTTTAGTGTACAGTGAAAGATAACTTACAAATTATTAGAGGATAACAGTAAAATAAAAAACAAAGCGAGAGAAATGCTGCTTATCTATAAAAAATATAACATCTTATGCATCGTACACCCTACGTACGTCATAACGTCTCGTGACGTCATAGCGTGGTATGAGACGCCACGACAATCACAAGTTAAATCAAACACACATGCGCTGCTTACAAGCATGAACAGTTAGACGTCCACGATAACGGTTTACATTCAAACGTGTAAGTTATGTGAACAGCCGACGTCCAACATCGCAAAATATTCGTGCCTAATAAGATTCGCCACAGACATGGAGTCTGTAGCACTTAAAAACTAATCCTCTAATTTTGCACTGACTCACTAAGCTTTACCCGAGCAAGCTTTACCACAAAAGTAAAAACATTGTCTGCTTTCCCCACTGCCGATGCATTTCAGGCTACATGAACAGCATAGGGTAAAAGTTACGACGGATATTTGTTCGTAGGCGTGTTGTAGTCACAACTATGCATACTTAACATCACGCGCCACGAAATTGAGTGTGTACTTCCATTTCGCCGCTCCCTAATATAGGCCGTACACATCAAACTGACTTCAAGAGGCTATCGAGCTAAAACAAAACCGCAAGTTAGAAATCCGACAAATATGAATAAATGAAAATACATTTACGGAAATGACAGTACAGCGACAAAGAGCGATGCAGGAACGAGCACAGCTGCGTATAACGGTACTTACTTTTAGCAGTAGTGCGAAACACAAGGGTGCGAGCAGATGAGATGGATTTAGCAAAGGTGCATGAAAGTGGGTGTATTCTCGCAGTTATTCAGGGCAATCTGTACAATTGTGTGCGTTCTTCATAATCCATAAGCCAGTCTGCCTGCATAGTTTTCTTAAATCCCCGTAATAGGACGCCAAGGGAAGTTTGGCGTTAAACTGACTTTCAAACTCTTCCACTTTTGGGTGTTTTCCTCCGCTTCGTTCACTGTTGGTTTTAATCGTATATTTGGTATATTACCACCGATAAGGAATGCACACAGCTCAAACTATATGCTTTTTTCAACACTTTTCTCCTCACATAACCGAGTTGAAAGTGTCCAGACGTACTTTTACCGGGAGTTGTTCAGAGGCAGGCGAAATTGGCGAATGAAAGAGTGAAGAGGAGGACCAAAAAAAAAAAACACGAGGGCGGGGCAGATGATATTTAGGGTGACGTTTAACTGCATGTGTGTTATGACGTGTTAAGGATGACGCAACCTTTGAGGAAGCCCTGATGCTTGACTGTAAATGCCAGATGTAAAATAATAGGAGTGATCGTTCATGCTTCTCAATTGCTCAGTTGATAGTTGATCTGGAAGTGCGTACATGAAGAACCATAACTGCATAGATTATAGAGTAGCTTAGTCTTATTTAAAACATGATACATTTGTTAGCCACCAAAACAGAACGAACGGTCTGCAATTAATATTAGTTATGACAAAATTAAAGAGTGTTTTTTTCTGGTTAAGTATACAGTGTATATACAGTGGGTACGGAAAGTATTCAGACCCCCTTACATTTTTCACTCTTTGTTATATTGCAGCCATTTGCTAAAATCATTTAAGTTAATTTTTTTTCCTCAATGTACTGTGTTTTTCTGTCAATATGGGGTGCTGTGCATTCATTAATGAGGAAAAAAAATTAACTTAAATGATTTTAGCAAATGGCTGCAATATAACAAAGAGTGAAAAATTTAAGGGGGTCTGAATACTTTCCGTACCCACTGTATATATATATATATATATACACTTATGTATTTTTTTTTCTTATACATTTGTCTGTTGTGAATTTTTGAATCCAGAAGAGTACATCACATTCAAATAATTATTGTCTTCATTGTGCATGTCTCTGATTAATAAAACAGAAAATTTAGTTTAGTACAACTTTTAATTTTTAAAATTCACAGGATATAATGCAGTGGAAACCAAGAACAGTTTTACACTTAGTGTCTATTAAAATAATTTGTGATGAAGTTCATAAAGCCACTATCAAGATGCAGAACTGTTCATACTCGCCTTTGTTAAAGCCAATAGTATGAAGACTTTTAGCACACACAGAGGATGTTGTTAAAAATAAGGGGTGAAAATATGTTCTGCTGTAAGTTGGTAACAATTATATATACAGTATATGTCATACTTAATCTGAATTTTTATGCATCTGAAAATATCCAAAATACACACAAATTCATTCCCGTAATCTCACACAAAACACAAAAATTGTTTAAAATTTTATTCAAATTTTTTTTTTTTGTAATTGACAGGTTGTGAAACAACAGTTGAAGAAAATAAATAGAATAATAATAATGATTGTTCATTAATGGTAAATCTGTAAATAAAATGTCTAAAAATACATGGATTCATCAGAACATGTGCCAATGATCCTCTATCTTCATAAATAATTTAAAAAATGCCCTCCATCAAGAAATAGATAAATTAATTGCAAAAAAAGAGATAGAAATCACTTTCCCTAAATAATAATGATAATAATAATAATAATAGTAATAATATCCCAAATGTTTAAATCTTGACCTTCATTTTAAAAGCATGATATATACAGTGAAATACATTTTCATGAATCTTCTCGAATCATTCACAAATTAAAAAAAAAAAGAAAGAAAGAAAGGTAAAAACTAACAAACCTAAAAATAAAAAACTCTAACAACAGCCTCTCTGTGATAAACTATATTCAGTCACTTTAGGGAGGTTCGCAATATAGGACCAGCATCCTATACCTCAGGTCATTTGTTTCCTTAAGTATTAAAGATGAAGAACTATGTATAACTGGACTCCGATTAGAGACCAAGAGCAAATCCTTCAAAACTCCCAAAAGGACATTCTTTCTCTATCTACCATATACCTCCCATGATTCTTTGCTCTGATCACATTGACCCAGTCCCACCCTCCCAACCGTTTCGATATGTCTACACATGGTCCCCCTCAAATTTCTATATACATATTTTAGATTGCTGCAGAAAGACTTTAATAGTTCATAGTTCCTTTGAACCCAGAAGCGAAACTAGTGTAGTACTGACATATTTGCATTGGTCCCATTTGTGTGTGTGTGTGTGTGTGTGCAGGGCATAGATGTGTGGGCCGAGGGCAGAAAGGTCACGACCCACAAGCACACGGCACAACAGCGTGTGAAGCAGAAGAGCGAGTGGTGTTGCGTTGCTGATTGGCCCTATATCGTATACTGTTAAGGCAGCAAATCATTCTATTTAACCCGCACTTTGTGCGACAAGTCAGTCTTTGTTATTAAATGTATATTTTTGTTTAAATAATCTCGGTAGGTTTTATACTGTAGTTTTGTGAAAGTTGTTGGTCCCGTAATTTGCAGTGGAGGAAAAGTGACTTGTAATTGACTCCGATAGTCCTCTCCTTTCTTCCCTGTGAGAGGAAAGAAAACGAAAACAGCAGTTAAAAGCAAGTCATATAAACACAAAAAACACTCCTACTTATTTCACGGAGTTAACACTATTGTGCATTTGGGAAGGTTATCTAAGGCTATGTCCACATTGATCTGGATAAATGTGATCTTTTTACATCCACACTAATAATCTGAATTTTCTTGCATCTGAAAATATCACAAATACCCATTTTGGTGCAGCAAAAACAGCTGTTTGAAGATGCTCTCCCAAGTATATAAATTTGAAAACGTTGTAGTGTGGACTGTGATAATGGAGGTATGTTTAGTTATGTGACACATATTGTACACATATATATCTAGGGTTGTACCAGCATTGTTGTGCCTTCTATTCACTTTAATAATATTGCTAAAGATAAATGCCTGCAAAGATGACTGAATATTACTGAATAAAGATGACCGATTTTGAATGTGCCGTGGATGCACCAGACAGTGGTAGGATATTAGGGGCTTTCGCACCACATAGTCTTAGGAACTCAGTTCTAGGAACTAGCCAGAGCATGGTGGCTCCTACAGAACCAATTTCTCCCTCGGGCCGATTGCCTGGTTGCATTCGCACTGGTAGCAGGAACTCTGAAGCGGCCAACAGCGACATCTTTATTCGCGGCATTTACAAACATCAACAGCTGGTCAATGGAGGACACAGTGATCAGAGCTGATTTTGTGGTGTGTGGTGGGTTTCGTGATAACAGAGATGGAATGTAAACAGACAATTTAGGCAACTGAATAGGGCTGCACAATTAATCGAAATTCTAATCGCGATTACAATTACGGATGCCACAATTACGTAATCGTTCAAAGCGGCAATTAATCGTTCAAAGTCCACTTATGTTATTCTGCGTGCTTAAGATGCGTTTTTTTTCTTTCTACATGTTATCTTAAGGGTCTTTCCCATTATTTTAATTTTAGTTTTAGTATAACATTATAATACCATTCATATTTTAACTTTTTTTATCATTTAAAGAAGAAACCAATCCGATGTAAAGTTGACATTTGAGGCTTAATACTATAGAAAAGCACTAAAAGTTTTTCAGTTAGAGTGTTTTCAGCTTGTTTATTTTCATATAAAAATACTGCATGCAGTTGCATCAAACAATGGTATAAACATAATTTAATGTAAATTGTGATAATCGTAATTAATAATCGCAACTACAATTTCAAGGGAATAATCGACAATTATGATTTTTGTCATAATCGTGCAGCCCTACAACTGAAAGAGCTAAATCTCCTATGACAACTTGCAGTGTTACATATGGAGGCTGAGAAAAACACAATGCTGCAGACAACAGGTTAAAGCCGTTGTAGCTGTTTTCCATGTTCGTGGAGTAAATATTTTTACGTGGCTTTTTAAAAATGCCGGGTAGCCAGTGTTTCGTATGCTTTTGGTCAATCAGTGTACACTTACGTCACATGTTAGTTCCTATAGAACTGTTTTAGCAGTTTCAAACGCAGTTCCTAGAACCAAATACGTTTCTAGTTCCTGCGGTGCGAACACGCCAAAAAGTGGGAACTTCCGTCAACAGTTCTTGGAACTATGAAAAGGTTCCTCCGGTGCGAAAGCCCCGATTTACTACTAAAATGACAGTGCTAGAATAACTTTATTATGTCTGGTCTTAGTAAGCATTTTGAGCACAGCAGGGGAATTTAAGCATTTTTTAGGTGAGCAACTTTTGGAAAACGCTTAAAAATGCTAGTGTGGACGGAGAGCATTTGAAACGTATTAAATCCATATTAATGTGGACGTAGCCTAATGCTTACCATTCTATACTTCCATGCAACCTACAATGTGAATCAGTGAATGGGGTTTTTATGCAAGTGTGTGTTTCTGTGTTAGTGATCGTTTAGAGTGGGGAAACATTTCTGGCAGGCAAACAAATTTCCAACATGCACCATAGGAATTCTGGGCTGTATTGTGTTCAGCTGGAGACTTAACTGCGTCTTTTTTGAGTGCTCAGACGAATGACTGAATATAAATGAGCAAGTATAGGTTTTCTATTATAACCCAGAATTCCTACAGAGGAATGCTGTTCTTTGGTCGGCACAATGCGTCACTCGTTTCACCATAACAACCACAAAGTGTCACCTCAAACCTCAGCGTGAGAGGTTTGAGAGATATAATGAATGAAGTTCCCTACCTCTCGTTCCCTCTCACGCTCAAACGCACGGATCGTTCGCCTCATTCACGCAAGCACGTAAACAAGCTCACTCGTTGGCACGAAACAGCATATCCACTAGCACAAACGCTCTCGGAATCAAATACAACCACACTGAGACCCCCCACCCCACATTCACAGTAACTATAACACCACCAGACTACATATGGGAGTATTTTGTATAAGAAATAGAGTCATGACCAAACAAAACACAGAGGAGACTGATCAAAAACAAAATCCACCCAAAAGCAGCACATTGAGCTGGTTGATTAAAGTTCAATAGGATCAATTGAGTTTGAGTAACTCCATTAGCTACCGGAGTTACGTTAGGAGAAAATCAAAGATTAGTGTCAGTTATTGATCAGTATTTATAAAACAAAAGAGAGAGAGAGAGTCACAACGCACCAAACACAGTCCATAGTCACCACGGTAACCCGCCATGCACTCTCAGCATGGAGGATACATGACAAAGGGCCAAAAAACAAAACTGCTAATGGCAACCATCACAGGCAGGAATATCTCCACAGCAACCAACACAGGCCAAT